CCCCGCTTTTATGGTGTTTACATTTACAGGAACCTACCTCTCTTTTTACTCTTTCTCTCTCTTGTGAGAAAGCATAAAAATAGATAAGAGAGAGAAAATGGCTTATTACGCAACCTGAAACAGTAGAAGCACTGGAAAAAAAAAAACAAAACGAGATCTGAGGAGCAAAATCGTTCTTAACAGGAGCCATCATCGCGTCTCTTTGAGCAAGTTCACACACCGTTTTTGGTTTAAAGATGGCGCAAGGCAGTCGGAAGACGCTGATCTACGCACTGGTGGCGCGTGGGACGCCGCCGGTGGTGCTGGCGGAGTACACCGAGTTTAGCGGAAACTTCAATTCCATAGCCTATCAGTGCCTCCAGAAGCTTCCTTCATCGAACAACAAATTCACCTACAACTGCGACAATCACACCTTCAACTACCTCGTTCACGATGGATTCAGTGAGTTTTTCTCTTTCTATGTTATCTCTTTTGTTCTTTTTTTTTTCTGTTAGAAGGTGTTGATTCAGTTATTCGATGCGCTGCGTCGTTTCGAAGTTCCGATGACAAGAAGTGTTTATATGATTATCTTGTTTTTCGCCTGGGTTTAATTGCAGGTCATGTGTTCTTGTTGATTCAAATTGTATGTTGCTATCTTCGTGGATTTGGATTGGTGTCTCCGTGTCTGTTGACCACATATTCTTTATTTTATTTATTTTTTATTTTTTCTGGCTTTGTCATTTGGTTTGTGTGCTTTGTTTTGCCTATATCATTTCTCCTTTAGGTAGATTCACTGAGCTGAAACTGACGCGTTAATGTCATCAAAATGGAATGATACATGAGATACAAAAGTAATTTAACAAAAAGGAGTGATGGAGTTGATGAATTCATAAAAATGGCACACACAATGCATTTATAAGTTACGGTTATCTTATTTCTCTTCAACTCTCTCCCGTATTTCAAAATTTGTCCCTAATTAGCTGATCCTAGAGAAAAAATGAGTTCAGGCTCTCGAGTGAACTATTAACGTGGAAACATTGACTTGCTATACAGCATTCTGTGTTGTTGCTGAAGAATCTGCTGGCAGACAGTTACCTATGGCTTTTCTGGAGCGTGTTAGGGATGAATTTGTGGCTAAATACGGTGGCGGGAAGGCTGCAACAGCTCCTGCAAATGGCCTAAACAAAGAATTTGGGTACATTAAGATCTGGTTATCAGATTAAGTTATCTGCTGATTTGGTTTTCCATCTAATTAGGTAATCTCTGATCTGAAAATCCTTATTGGACAGGCCAAAGATGAAGGAGCACATGCAATACTGCATTGAGCACCCTGAAGAGATAAGCAAACTTGCTAAGGTGAAGGCTCAGGTTTCAGAAGTTAAGGGTGTGATGATGGAGAATATCGAGAAGGTATTGAGGAGAACTACTATCCTGGACTCTTGATTCTTGTAAATTGACTAGTGTCTTCATTGTTTTGTTGACTATGTTATCACAACTTGGGTTTTGCTGTCATTTTTCTCAATTATCGCAATTTGGTCGATGACTCATGTTGAGAAGCTGTGTTTTCTGTCTTTATCTCTAGTTTTAGAATATTAACAACATTTGTATGTTTTGTTTATTATGCAGGTTCTAGATCGCGGAGAAAAGATAGAGCTTCTGGTGGATAAGACCGAGAATCTGCATCACCAGGTATCTATATTCTCTTGAGACCCCCCTGCCCACTCCCCTAAACTAAGGAAAAAAAACTAATTCTTTAAATTTCAATTACAGAACAGCATTTAGTATGATTAACTTTTGCTGCATATCCTGTTTGGCGTTTGGTATATGGGCTTCTGTTGAACTTTCATATGCTAAATTTATATGGACAATGTTATGTGGCTATTTGTGCCTTGTACATGTTTTCTCTGATATTTTTGCATGTGTAACCTTTGCTTCATCCCCTTTATGAACTGTAATATAAAGATCTCTTGATTGAAGTGAAGAATTGTGATGTATTGTGGGACAGCATTAGGAGATGAGGTGTGTGGAGGAATACTCATGCACACCTTGATATTATGATGATTATTGAAAAGTTTGAAACAAAAAGCTTCTTTGACATAAAAATCTTAACATAAAGCTTGACATGTAATGTGGAATTACTTTTCAATATGATCTGAGGTGTAAAGTAATGAGCCTTGCAGTGCAACACATGTATTATTTGAAACTGTAAGTCAAGCTTCATAATATATTCATGTAGTCTGATTAAACAGTGAGAATATTATCACGAGACATTTGTATAATAAGGCAAGTAGAACTGAAATGTGTACTTTATAGAAAAACGCACAATGCATCAATCAATTGTACGAGATTTCGCCTCGAATATTGGCCCTATTTAAGGGGTGATTGGATATGAATTCAATTAGTAAAAAACTAGTTTTTTTTAACTATAGTTAAGTTTGAAAAAAAGTAGTATGAGTAGTTGTTAATGGATATATTAAAATAATATTTAAATTAGAATAATTAAAGTTGATCTGATGTAAAAGTAGAAGAGAATGATTGGAAGTGATCGTTAGTTAAAATTATGTGAGTGGATGAATAGTGATTAAAATTGATGTGATGTGTAATAATGATTTGTTGATATTATTTAATTACATTGATAATATTGGAGATAGTGGAGTTAAGTTAAATTTGAGTTTTGATTGAGATATTTACTGTAGAATATATATACAATCACGCCCTTAGGAATTTGACAATGTAATCCCTTGATATATGGTGTTTGAACAGGCCCAGGACTTCAGGACCACCGGAACAAAAATTAGGAGAAAAATGTGGCTGCAAAACATGAAGATCAAGTTGATTGTTTTGGCTATCATTATTGCATTGATCCTCATCATTGTCCTCTCCATCTGCAGGGGCTTCAATTGCGGAAACTGATATGCGTTGCATATTGTCTTGAGCATTTGTAGAAATGACTCTGTAATTCGTTTTGTATGTATTAAGAGAGATGAGTCTTATATAGTATTTGCTAAATTCTGTAATTTTTCAGAGCAAGATTATGGTTTTAATAAAAACGAAGATGGTCAGTATAGTGTGCAGATCGTGTGTTATATTGGTAAATTACATTTCATTGAACCGCCTTAGAATTTGTATGTTTGTGTTTGAATGTGTATATTGGTTGATGCATCTTTGGTCACACTAAAATAAGATTATTTATTCATCTCATTTTCTGGTCTCTTCATTTTTCCCAAAATTCACCCTCATCAAACGTTTATTATTTTTTTTTTTTGGTATAAAATTGATGCCGACAAGATTGCATTAGCATATCTCGACAAATATGATCGACTTATGCCTTTAGTTTGATCGTTATTATATGTGTTTATATTATTTATGTGTGTATTTATTTATGATGTGTATTGGACTTGTTTTAGTTTGGGCTTTAGGTGGTTATGACTTAGTTGTATTAAAATAGATGGAGGTGTGTTTATTCTGGCAGTTATCGTATTATTGAATCAGAAAAGAAAAGAAAAATTGTGTGCTCTTCGTTTGATCTGTATGATCTTCCCATCTCATGCTTCTGCTACATCATTTGGTATCAGTTAACCAAGACGATTCTCGATGCCACCGAGACGACGAGATGCCGAAATTGATGATCGTCTTCAACGAATGGATGATCAGATGCAATTGTTGGACACTCGGGTTACGGATCTTTCGATGGAGATTGAAGATATTCGCCTTCAATGGTCGAGAGCAGCAAGAGATCTGCGATTTCGCTGGTGGCCGAGGCGGTCGCGGACGTGGGTTTGGTGGCCGTGGTGGACGTGGGTTTGGCGGGGCGCCCCGTCAACCGTTCCAACCGCCTCTGTTCGGAGAAGTAGATAGTGAAGATACCTGGTCGGACGACAACCCATTTGTCGATGAGGTTGACCGCGAGAGGGGTGTTGACTTTCAGAACCGGTGACAACCAGATGTTGGGTTTCGCGATCCCTTTTTTAGGGCAACCGTCGCGAACATGCTGGGTTCATGAATCGGGGTAATCCAGTCCACCGGCGTGCGGGATTTCCACCTGACAATTTCGGTTGTGACTTTCCTCGATTTCGCGACCGTGAATTCCGGCGAGTTGCTGATGGCGAGGATGACGATGTTGTTCGGCAACCGGATGTCGGGTTTCGCGACCCCGATGTTGCTGCTTTCCATCGAGCCCCAGATGGGTTTCAACCCTACGGAAATCCCGTCGATTGGCGAGCGGTTCACAGGCGCGAAGCCCTCGGTCGCGATTTTTCTCAATTCGCAGATCGTGATTTCCGGCGAGGAGACAATCGTAGATGGCAACGGGTTGGTCAGCATGGAGCTGCCAATTTCGTGGAAGATCGGGCTGCCGCTGGATTATTCGGTGATGCTGATTTCGCTGACGGTCGGGGCAAGGGCAATTTTTGCTCTCCTGTGTGTGACTTGGGTGTTTACAAAATGATTTTGAAAATGGAAGACATTTTGAGCGTGACTTTGAAGATGACAGAGGACCCCACATTCCACATGGCTTTGGGCACACAAATACTTAGGTGCGCCCTGGCACACCTTGCTAGGTGTGCCAAGACATTTTAAAAATGAACATGTTACACAATAGAATGAACATGTGTAAACCTGTTTACACATGTTCATTTTATTATGTAACATGTTCATTTTAAACTGCTTTGGCACACCTTGCTAGGTGTGCCAGGGCGCACGGTAGTATCACTGCTTTGGGCATGGTAAATTATTTGTTGAGAGATGTTGGGAGTTTTCTTTTTAAACTAATATTCTAGAATTTTTAGGTGGAATAGATGCTAGTGATTTTCTGGATTGGTTAGTTACTGTTGTAGGTGCACTTGATTTTAAATGTGTACCCGAAGATCCACATTTAGGGCATGCGTCGTCATCCAGTTCAGGTCCTTTATCGTCGTCGTCTCCGGTTTTATTCGTTTCTCGCCCCGAGCAATGTAGAGAGTTATCTGGCTCGGTGGACGATCGCTCGATTGTCTTTGACGTATGTGATTTTGTCGACTGGGACGCTCAGGATGCCGACGAGATTTCGGATTCGAGGACGAATCCTCTCCACCCGGGGGAGAATGATGCCGACGAGATTGCATTAGCATATTTCGACAAATATGATCGACTTATGCCTTTAGTTTGATCGTTATTATATGTGTTTTTATTATTTATGTTTGTATTTATTTATGATGTGTATTGGGCTTGTTTTAGTTTGGGCTTTAGGTGGTTAGGACTTAGTTGTATTAAAACAAATGGGTGTGTGTTTATTCTGGCAGTTATCGTATTATTGAATCAGGAAAGAAAAGAAAAATTGTGTGCTCTTCGTTTGATCTGTATGATCTTCCCATCTCATGCTTCTACTACATCAAAAATTTACATTTCATTCACTCAATATTAATGACTATTAAGTATATCAAATACTTAATTTATTATATGTTTCTATCACGTCACAAATAATTATTTAATTATAACTGTACATTCTCCAAATAAGAAGGAAACTTTCTGTTTGAAACTATATGCATCTTGGCTCTTGCATTTCTTAACGATTTTTGAGTTTTGCTTCAAAATAACATTTAATTGCCATTTTTAAATTAAAAATCAAAGGCTCGGCAGGAGTGTGGAAGTTTGCCAATAAGTTGCCCTAGTTTTTCCAATTCCTATACCCAAGAACGAGGCAAGAAAAGTATTAATGGGCCAACATGAACTGGGCGACAGTTGGGCCATTGCAGGACTTAAGTTTTAAGGGCCCTTCATAATTTCAACTTCACATGTTTCGAATTTGAGCTACCAAACTATAACCAAGTACGCAAGGTTCCTAAATATTACTTTCAACCTTTCGTTACGAGTTTGTAACCGTTACATCTAACTATCCATGACGGTTACATAATGATCTAACGGTTATAAATCTTAACAGAATGATTTCGTGACGAGAGTGTAGCATTTCCTTTGATTGTAATACCAACACATATTTTCTAATTTTTCTGACAATAAGCTGACCGTAAGAAAATACTAGAATACAACTCAAGTGAAATTTTATATCTTGGCACACAAAATAGTAGCATAAATTATTGCGATTAATATATTATGGGTGATTGCTGACCTCTCCTTTGGCTATAAATGAAGAGCAAACAAAAGTCCGAAACAGAAAGGAGAAAAAAATAAATAAATTAAATTAAATTAAATCAGCAGCCCATATGGATAAATATAAAACAAAAAATCAAATTCGTCATAAATTTGATTTGTTTAATTTCTACAAAAGTCAAAATTTGCGGGAATTGATGTCAATTATTTGGAAGTAATCAAGAGTTACTACATTTTTTACGTTACAACCATTGGGAAATTAATCCAAAATCTATATATATATATATAATTGCTAGCATATAACATTTAATTTTACCTATTTAATAAAACCTCTAACATTTTCCTTCCATTTTCGGTTACAAAAATTATCATTAATATTTTTTATTTCTCACATTAATACATCATAATGAGTATAATCATGTATTTTTCTATTATATTATATAATAGTTATTGCTAATGCCAACTAATAATAATTTACAATAAATATAAATTACATAATTAAGAACAATTGTTTTAAGTTATTTATTTTAACATCAATATTATCTTTTTCTTTTGTATCTCATAAAAAAAATTCTTTAAAAACAATTAGTAAGTTATTTTAATAGCATAGTCAAACAACTTTAGAATCTTATAAACAATTGTTTTACTAATAATAACAATAATAATAATAATAATAATAATAAGAATAATAATAATAATAATTAAACAGTTAGTATCTAATGGTAATATACAATTGTTCATAATAATAAAATCGTTATTTTTTTTTCTAATGATCAAATTTTTGAAAATTTAATATGTTCATTATCTAAAATTTTAATATTAAATTCTCAAATATTACTTATAATATTATATGTACATCTGTGCATGATTGGTACATATATTTTTTTTTTCTAAAAATCAGAAACACCAATATTTCTTTTATTTATGTTAATTTTCTTAATATATGCTACAAATATATAAATTATTTTATTCATGTAACTAATATAAACGTTGCATGGTTAAAATACAATTTAAATCTCAATTGATTTTGAATGATAAAAATAACTTAAAAAAAATTTCATATGATAAAAGCACATGTCTAATTAATAAATACAAACAAAAACATAAATTTTGACTCTAAAAATTTGGCGGAACATAAATTTCAGTTTCAAAAATCATATAAAATGCGCCACTATTATACAGTTCATATTTTTCCAGTTATCAAAATATTTTCAACTAATCATGCTCTTGATTTGTTGGTATTTACACTAATTAGTTAATAGACTTCTGTAGGTGCTTATAAATAAAATAAAAATCACACATTTTCACTTTGCATTTCACACTCATAATCAGTCACCGAAAAAATTATTTCGACACAACATATTTCTTTTGAGTTCCAAATGGCAGTGCAATTTGATAATATGATTT